ACCCAAAAAATGGTGCGGTTTTTTCCAAAAACCCCCCCGCCAATAATGCAAAAAGTTAAGCCCCGCCACTTTTTGAAAGCTTCAATTTAACGTATGCAAACAAACCTGATCCGCCGGGAAACTAAAGAGGTGTTCATGTATCCAATCCCCGGTCGAATGCGGCCACTTTTTGAGAGCTTCAATTTAACGTATGCAAACAAACCTGATCCGCCGGGAAACTAAAGAGGTGTTCATGTATCCATCCCCGGTCGTCAAACGACTGGATTTCACACACAAACCACCAAATCTCCTTGGCACGTCTACAAGGTGCAGAATAAACGCCACTTCGGCACACACCGATCTTTAGTGGACAGCTACTTGTGTGAACAATCCAGGCCTGCATCGCTCCCGGCTCAATCATCATCTCCGATATGTGGGCATCACACCAAGGAATCGAAACGATGATTGACATGAATTGTGCTCACGAAACGGTTAATCATACCGAAAACTTTGTGGATCCAACGACTGGAGCTCACACACAAACCATCGATTCGTTTTGGCACGTCTACAAGATGAGGAATAGAAGCCAGGGCGGCACACACCAACCTTTAGTGGACAGCTACTTGTGTGAGTTCGTTTGGATGCAAAGGTACCGGAAAACGGACCTTTTCATGCAAATTTCCAATGACATCTAAATTTCATCCTCTTCAATAAAAACTGAAAGTACGAATTCCATACCCTCTTTTTTCTAATATTTTTTGGGTGGCGGGTGTTCATTTTTGGCGGGGTTAGACAGTTAGTCCACGTACATTGTACATCCCAATGTGGTGATAAGGCGATTGTTTCCTGTCTTTACTGCATCTTTACTGCTTTAGTCTTCTGTCTCAGAAATAGGAAGCATGATTCACAGGTTTCTCTTCTTTCTGAGGATTCAGTCTTTGTTGTGACTTGCAATTTCTGTGTCGGCGTCCTCCTAGCTGCAGGTTTCCCGGGATTTTGGGTGTGGTAGACATTTTTGGCTTCTCAGAGGCCTTCGGTTTGGATTGGCCGGCTGTTTGGCAGCCTTGGTTTTTCTTCGGAGCTGTAGGTCTCTTGACCTTGGGTGTTATGGACCTCTTAGGAGCTTTAGGCTTAACTGCTCACTCTACTGAACCGACAGTTCACTTTTTGCTAAACTCTTCTTCCCCGACGTCTTTTCATCGGTCCGTTTCAACAGGTGTTAAACACGTGTGTTTAAAACTCGCTCTAGTGTGAGGCATCCTTTGGTTTGGCTAGACCGAGAATAAAAGCCTAGCACGATTACCTTATACAAAACGCATGTTTCTAGTGGTTTTAGATGGGCTTTAGATATGCAAAACGTACAAATTAAGCCGAATCCAACTAGCTTCTAAATTATGCTCCATCTACGTCGGTTCGGCATGTTCACTTATCACTGATGATGTGTCGATGCTCTCTTTGGTACCGGGGGAAAAATACCCAGAAAGGTTTACTGGACCCACATTATCTGATCCGGTTATTGGAGCCGAACGGGAGGTTTGGAATAAACGTTCGGCAGACTAAATAACCATGCGAGTTTAAAAAAATCGATTCCTAAGGTGGTTCAGAATGGTATTCAGGAACAGCGGATTACAAGGTTGGATGGTTCTTGTTCAGGTGATTCCCAAACTGCATATCAAGGTATGAATACTCTCCAGTTTGTGCAGGCTTAATCTACACAAATAACGATTCGCGACAGGTTAAATGTATTGATTGTGCTGTAACAAAATGTATATAAAACTAATGAAACTCTTCAACAGCCCACCCTCTTTCGCCCTCGTAGGAGCGAATCAGGTAGGCCTAGTTTCCAAGCCTCCTTCTAGGCGTGTTGATCGTTATTCCCCGGTCACACAACTCGATCCAGCTGGCGGATTCAATAAATTTGCGTCGAATTTTCTGTGAACAACAGAAAGCGTTTACGGTAGTCATTACACGACAGGTCTTCATCAATCACGACCGAGCAAGATGGGCGGTCTGTGCAGCAGAACACAGAAGAAGAACCATCGCGCACTCCCTTAATCCTCCACTAAAATTAATTGAATGCATCGGACAGTACGGACGTAATGCACTACTCATAAGGTTGCTGAAAATTCTTTGACGGTAACCTTATGAGTAGTGCATTACGATATCTCAAATGTCGTAGCAACTGAAACATGAGGCAGCCTGGTGTAGCACATTCAGTCAGCTGGGTTCCAGGTGAGTCTCTCGCAAAACACCAAATTTGTTTGCAAATGAGCGTATTTGGTGCAATCCGGTTTCGAGTAGAACATAAGGTTGACGGAAACTCGGGGACTGCACCTACCTGATGAGCTCCAACTAAGGGCGAAACCGATCGTGGGCTGCCGAGGAATTTTCAGCAACCTTATTAGTAGTGCTTTACAACCACAATATCTCGAATATCGTAGCAACTGAAAGATGAACTGGTGTGGTGCAGCACATTCAGTGGCCTGAAAATACCACAAACGAAGGATTCAACTGTATCCCAGGTGAGATCTCGCAAAACCAAATTTGTTTGCAAATGAGTGTTTCGTCCGATCTTCCTAGAACAGGAGCGAATCCCAGGCTATGGATTTGTTACTATGGGAGGAACAAAAAAACATTGTGGTTACGATTCTAGTTGGTGCAGCTGTGAGGGTCTGGAAATCAGTTCATGTCATACATTAGTGCCACCGTTTGGAAATGAAATGTACAGTGTACAGTCGTTGTACTGAAGTTTGTGATACGGCGTCTGCCGAATTCCATAAGTCTTTCGTTCTCGCCTGCCTAAAGTCACTTTCGTGACTGGGAGCTATCCAACCTTCCGTTCTAAATTCCTCATACCATATGCGTTAGTCTGGTTTCCAACGGAGGCAGCAGGGTCAGTCTGTGGTTCGCCGTACCAGTAAATAGGCAAACTGAACGTTATGTGCGCATGAATTCAACAGCCCGTCGTGGTAATCGAAGGACTTTGTCCAGGACATTGTACTGGCAACGAATGGCAATCACACGTCCCCGAGGATCACCATCACCCGCCCACATGATCATCTAGTATTCTTCACCAAATGGGACAATAAACCACCGAATGTGACATTAAATAGCTCAGAGGATGAGTGAAACATCCACCTAGGAAGTCGTCACTCGAGGAGCCAGTCAATCAATACGCGAACGCGTGATGTGGATCGGATAATTGAAGAACGAGTGACTCCATATCCCGTCTAGAATCGAGTTACTTTGCTTGCTGATGGACCGCTGTGGTTGATTGGTTAAGTGCTCAGAATACTTGCTGAGGGTCGTGGCTTTCAGACTTCTTGGGGTTTCGTGAGGATGCAACAGCTGGAGAGTAATTCGAGTTCTCCCAAAGTGCTGGTGGTTCATCACCAAGCAGGGTCAGTCTACATACTTCGGATGCCAGCAAAGAATTTACACGAAGCAATTTGTAAGTTTCCAAAGGAGATATNTATTTGGCGTGAACCAGTTAACGGACATGGAATTTCTTAAGTAGGACTCTAATAATGACTGACGAACCCGATCGCTTCATTGCACCTCACAGCAATCCAAAATCAGAATATCTCAGGAAGCAAACAGGTTTAAATGTGACTATGTAGCCGGTGACATCGGAACTTCATCGCATTTATCCAGATGAACCACTGTGTCTGGTGTGTCGCGCAAAAACAAGCAGGTAGTTTACCCGCTACTTCCACATCCCATGTATTCTGTCGGTTCACGTGCAGTTGCGATGACCCATACCTAACGTCCATTAAGATCCATCCTGTCGAATATCTGAACACATACCCAAGAGCACTCAAGCGCTGACATGTTCACCTGTTCAGACTTAAAAACTTGGATGAGTCCAGCATGCGGTGGTTCAGGGTGGTAACACACTTGCCTCGAATGTCAGATGTCCGGAGTTCCAACCACGGCACAGTCAAGGATATGAACTCCAGATGAATTCGAATTGGAGCGAAACTCAAGTCCATTGCTTCCCCTCTTTGGTGTGGACTCACCAGAAAGATTGCGCCGGGACAGGAGGATGGCTTTTCAAATAAGAGTCATGTGAGTACGCATCCTACGAATCCCGCAACTATACACAAGCAAACATCAAAATGTCTGTCGAGGATTTTCATCGACTTGCTGAGTAGTATTTCGTCAAGGAAATAGGCGTAGGCATGACATCAGCTTCTCTGTCAAGGATCGAGTTTACAATGCTGCAGTGCGCTCCATATTACTATATGGATCAGAAACCTGTCCGCTGCGTACTGAGGATGTCAAAAGACTTTCAGTGTTTGACCATCGATGTCTTCGGAGCATTGCCCGAATCTGATGGGAACACCGGATCAGCAATGCTGAAGTACGT